TGCTGAATTTCTCTGTTTTACTCTTAATATAGAATATATTGATGCATAACACCTCTACAAAGGCACAAAATTAAATTTTACTCACTAATTAATTCTTAATACTCATATCCACACAAGAGAATATACACTGGGAACCAGCAGTGAGCGTAATGTCTATGTCGCTGGACTCCCACATAGTCGACCGTGGTTCACATCCCGGACCCGGTGGCTTAAAACTCACTCCAGGCGTGTGTGTGTGCGTGCCCAAGATCCCGAGAGGAGAATGGAGGAGAAGGGATTGCGGCGTGACCATCCCCCCTGGGGGGTGATTTCTCACTTTCTGTCTCTATGTCTCTCTCTCTCTGTCTGTCTGGCGAGCGCATGCGCCCTATAGCGAAAACCTCTTAAAAAAATATATATATACACTGAGTATTTGTATCTATTTTTTGGTCCAATATTGTTTGCATTTGTAATAAACTGAAACTTATGGTATGTAACATTTTCTTCTTTTTCAGTATTATATAACATCCCAGTATATAGATATGTCAGATTTTATCTGTTCAATTGTTAACACACATCAAGTGTACCAAGTTTTCCTTAATTCCAATGGTACTGGTAATAATACCTTATACTTTTTTTAGTAACTGTATGTATTTTGAGTAGTACTGTGTCTAAGATAAAAATTTCTAGCTGTATTTTAGATTACTTTTTTGAGAGGTTTTTGCTATAGGGCACGTGCGCTCACCAGAAAGACAGACAGAGACAGACAGAAAGTGAGAACTCATTCTCTGCGGGGCATGGCCACGTTGTAATCCCTTCTCCTCCATTCTCCTCTCGTGATCTTGGGCACGCATGCACACGCACCGGGTGTGAGTTTAAGCCTCCGGGTCACGGGACTCAAACTGTGGTCGACTACATGGGAGTCCAGTGACACAGCCATTATGCCAACTACTGATCCCATCCATATGTTAGATTTTATAAAATTAGTGTACCAATTTACACTCTCCTGGAGAGCGTGTGAGAATTCCATTTTCTCCGTCTCTCAGGAGTACTCCTTGTGTATGTGTATTTGTAGTCACATCTCATTTTCATATGCTCAACTATCATTCAGATATCCCTTAGGCAATTTTTTAAATTATTCTCATTTTTTAACTTTTAAAATAAATTTTACTGTGGTATAATTTAAATGCAATAAAATGTCCCTATTTTTGGTGTGAAGTAAGTTCAAGGAAATTTAAAAAAAAAAAAAAAAAAAAACAATATAGCCACTGAGTAATAACTACCCCACAAGAGATAGAACATCTCTTCTCTATCATTCCAGAATGTTCTCTCATAATGTTTATTTGGGGGTAGGGGTGAGGGAGAGGTTTTTTCTATAGGGAGCCTGCATTCACCAGAAAGACAGAGAGATAGAAAGCAAGAAATCCCCCCCCCCCCAGGGGTGATGGCCACGCTGCAACCCCTTCTCCTCTAGTCTCCTCTTAGGATCTTGGGCAAGCATGCACACATGCCTGGTGTGAGTTTAAGCCACTGGGTCCGGGACACAAACCACAGTCGACTATATGGGAGTCCAGAAACATAGCCATTACTCCAACTGCTAATCTCAAATGTTTTATAGTCACTTTGACCCCATGCCATTACCAATTAGCTCTCTGTTATTCTAGATTTGTTTTCTTGTTGTAGAACTTCAAATATATGAAATTCGGCATGCTCTATTTTGTGTCTTTCACTTGGTAAGATATTTTTTGAAATTGTTCCATTTTGTTTGTATTAGTAGTTTATTGTTGTTGGGTAGTAGTCCATTATATGTATAAATCAACGTATTTATTTATTTATTTATTTATTTATTTGGTACAGGACACATGTGCTTGCCAGAAGGAGAGTGAGACAGAGTTATAGAGTGGGAAAATGAGAAAGCACTTTTCTATAATTTTATGTATTTTGTGTTACAATTCTTAAATTTAATTCCTGTGCAAACAAAATGATTTTTCTAGCATGAATGCAATGCACATCCATCAAGTCAAAGGCATTACCATATACCTCTTCATCAATAGATAATTTTTCATTCATGTGTCAGTTAAACATTTTTTCCCCATCCCCTCCCTGCCAACCCCTGTTACCCACACTCTCCTATACTGTGTCTAGTATCTACAGTTACCCTCTTTCAGTTTCTGTTATAGAGTGTGGACATTTTAATATCCTTTTTCTTTTTATATGACCTGAGTTTAAAGTAAATTTCATTTTTATTTAATATAAAAAGACCATTTTGGGGACCAGCAGTTGATATAATGGCTATTTTGCTGGACTCCATGTAGTCAACTGCGGTTCGAGTCCCAAACACAGTGGCTTAAACTCATATCGGGCGTGTGTGTGTGTGTGCATGTCCAAGATCCTGAGAGGAGAATGGAGGAGAAGGGATGTGGCGTGGCCATCCCCCTTGGCGAGTGGTTTCTCGCTTTCTGTCTCTCTCTCTCTCTCTCTCTCTCTCTCTCTCTGTCGCTCTCTGTCTTTCTGGCAAACGCACACATCCTATAGCAAAAACCTATCAAAAAAAAAAAAAAGCCTAGAGCAAAAACCTATCAAAAAAAAAAAAAGAAGAAGAAGAAGATGGTTTTGAAGGCTATAGAAAGAAAATACAAGAGTCAACCCCCTGAATATTTTCTGTTTGCTAATCCTGTAGCTTGGCTAGGCACAAATCCTGAATTCTCAACATAAACTGGATGGCAGATTAACCAAATCACTCATTACCGTATAAGAATTTCTAAGTACCTTCCTTCTTACTCTGGTTTGGACAATTACAATATTTAGACTGGTCATTTCTTGGTGGCACTCTTCATAGGTATTTTTTCATGAGTATACATTTTTTTATTTGCTCCCTGTGACAAAACACATAAATTGGAGTAACAAATCCATACTTATAAACACATACGTCTTATAAATTGTTGGCTGGGTTCCCATAACTAGTGGAGTTAACCTTTCTCAGTTTGGTCCAGAGGTCTGTAATGAAATGAGGGCACTGCATCTATATCTTTATGATTCCATTATTTGTATGCTCTACTTTTTTTTTTTTAAGAAATTTTTGCCTTAGGGTGTGTGTGCTCAAAAGGATGGGGTGGGGGGATAGACAGAGACAGTGAGAGAGAAAATGATAAATCACCCCAGGGGGGATTGTCATGCTATAATCCCTTCTACTCCATTACTCCTCCATGAATCTTGGGCATTCACACAAATGTGCAGGGCATAATTTTCAAGTCACAAGTTACTGTGTCTGGAACTGTAACCACAATTGGTCTGTGGGAGTCTAGAGACATAACCAATACACCATCTGCTGTCTGTATGTATACCCTAATCCATTTTTCTTTTTTTTCAGACTGATTTTTGGTATAGGATTCATGTGCTTTTTTGAGTGACAGAAAGCAAGAAGTTAATTCCCCTGAAGAAATAATGGTCACACCACAATCTCTTCTCCTCCATCGTCCTCTGTAGATTTTTTTGGGGGGAGGCGGGGCACATGCACACATACCCAGAGTGAGTTTCAAGCTTCCGGTTCCTGGATTAGAACCACAGTCAGCCAGGTGGGAGTCCAGCAACATAACCATTACACCAACTGTTGGTCCCTATGCTCTAGTCTTATCTGTGTGCTTAATTGGTGTTCCGGTAATTCATTTGCTGGTAAGAACAATAATTATAGCAGTTTCAGGCACAACTTTCTGTACCATATCAAGGTAAAAATGTACAACTAGTTTATTAGATTTCCAGAAAAAGATTTCATTAATTCCAATTGCCCTGACTTAGATGACAATCCTGAACTAACTGTGTGAATTGAATAACAGAAGATGATAATGGACTTAGTTTGAGGCCCACCAATGAAATTAGGAATGGAGACAATTTTCCTAAAAAATTCAATACATTAATGTACTGAGTGTTTCAGCTCTTTCCTAGAAAACGAAAGGAGGGTGAACCAAAGCAATAGGCATATCTCAAATATTACTCTTTGGGTACAATTAAATAGTCTTAAAGAACAAATGATTGCTCCTCACTTAAGATTGCTCACTCTTTTTCCAAGATGACAGGTATGTAGTGCACAGTAGGTGTCTGTTCATTTCATTTATTCTTACTATGTCAATAATCCATTTATCTATGTAATCTTTCATGTAGGTAATCCTTCATTCATTCATCAAACACGAACTCAGTTCTTACTCTGTGCCATAACTATAGCACTTCAGGGTCAGGGTACAGGAAAGAAGTGGTTGAAATATGCACTGTCTACCTTCACACATTTCTGATCAACATTAAATTGTATTTTTTTAAAAATGGTTTAATGACATATATGCATCCTGCAAATGTTTTCAAATGGTGCATGTTTTTACAGATAACATGTACTTTGGATAAGCGTCAACTCTATTGTAAGCAAATGAAAACAAACTAGTTAAATTGCTAACACGAATTATAATAAAACTTAGTTTGTGCAAACGTGCTATGTGATATTATATTGTCAGTTTATAATTAATGGTGAAATTGTGCATCATTTCCTACTGAAATATCTTATTTTCTTTTCATTTTTATAACAAAATAAGTGCTTTTTATTGATTCATAGAAAATTCTTATATATTTGTGGTGTTAATCCTTTCATGTTAACTGTTCCAAAATGCCATTTTTTGATTTTATATTTCCACTTTGATGCTTTTCTTTACATTTTCTTATTTTGTCACAGAAAATTCAAAGTTTATTAGATCTGTCTTTTTTTTAATGGGGGAGGAATTTTGGGTTTTGCTTATGAATGACTTTTCATAACAATAGGTTATGAATGATTAAAAACTACATACTTTGTCTTTCATAGGATATTGTTCAATAATTAGTTTCTTGGTAAATGAATTCATTTTAATTGTTATTGAAAATAACAATTAAATGACTATGAGGTCAATGCGATTGCTCTACAGGCCAAAGCATCACAAAGTTAGCTGTAGGCTTTATGAATGTGAAGTAGGTATGTATCTTGTGAACTGATATGTCAACTTAGATTACTTCTTTAAGAAAAATGTAATTTTTTTGAGTGAGTCATTAAAGGCTTGTTTAACTTGCTTGTTTCTCAGAGTATATATGAAAGGATTCAACATGGGCGATATGGAAGAAACAAGCACGGACACACCTTTATTAATTTTTACCTCGTCTTTTGCTGATGGTTTGATATAGATGAAGATGCAGCTGCTGTAGGTGATGGAAACAACAATCAGGTGTGAGGAGCAGGTGGAAAAGGCTTTTATCCTTTGCTGAGAAGAGAATTTTAGAATTGTCCTGATGATATGTATATAGGAGAGAACCACACATACAAAAGTGATGATGAAGATTAACACAGCACAGGCTATAACCATTTGTTCAATTAGCCACGTATCTGAGCAGGATATTTTCAGGATAGGAGTTACATCACAGCCAAAATGGTCAATGACATTAGAGTTGCAGAATTCCAGAGTAAAAACTAAACTTACTGGTGGGAGGATAATCACAAATGTAGCAACCCAACAACAGATAATCATTGTTTTGCATACCCTGTTGCTCATAATCGTCATGTAGTGCAAGGGTTTGCATATGGCCACATAACGGTCATATGACATAGCTGCCAGAAGAAAGAATTCAGTTACCCCAAAAAGATATGTAAAAAATAATTGAACAGCACATGCATTATAGGAAATCGTTCTGTCCCCAGTTGATATACTATATAGGAATCTTGGAATAGATGCAGTCGTAAATGAGATTTCTAAGAAAGAGAAATTTTGGAGGAAAAAATACATGGGAGTTTTAAGGTGAAGATCCACCATGGTGAGGAAAATGATCATCAGATTTCCAGTTACACTCAACGTATAGGTGGTAAGTAGAAAAATAAAAAGCAAAACCTGAAGCTGAGGATCTTCAGTCAGTCCCAGAATAATGAATGTTGTTATCACTGTGTGGTTTCTCATTATTGACATCTGGATTTTACCAGACCTATATATAAATGTCAGAGGTTAAAACAGCAGAATCCCATGACAAAAGCAGCTAACATGAATATTCTCTTGCATATTAGACTCACTAATATCCATGGCTTTTACATGTTGATCTGAAGATCACGGCGAGAATATATCTGTATATTTTATACTTACTTGATATTCTCTGATCTACTTATACAGAATAGCCAAATAAGATAAGGTCATAATTATTAGTGACTGAATTAAAGCATGAATTTTTCTTTATTATTCTCCTAAAGTAATTAATTTAATTAATTAATAAGGAAAAAATAATTTATAATTAAACATTTTAACTCCTACCTTGGACTTTGTGTTTTTTATTACATTTATTTTCTGTTTTGAAATTTTAGCTTACTTCTATTTACTTTTATTTATTTATTTATTTATTTTGGAGTGTTTTCTGGTCTTAGAGTACATGCATTTGCCAGAGAGAGAAAGAGACAGAGACAGTGAGAGGAAAATTGAGAAGTCACCCCCAAGGGGATGGTAACACCACAGTCTCTTCACGTCCATTTTCCTGTTGAGATCTTGGGCATGCATGAACACACACGTGCTGGGGGTGAATTTGAATCTTGAATCCGGAATTGAACTGTGACTGTCCATGTGAGAGTTCAACAATGTAACCACTACACCCTCTGCTCTCCCCAATTTTACCTTAATTTTATGTTGCCAAGTGCTTTTCTTGAACTCATGAGCTAAATTTTTAAAAATCGCTTTAGACTCATTTCTTTTTTTTAAAGTTCGAGAGTTCTTGAAATTCAAAAACAAAATCTTAAATGAGGACCCAAAGAAAGCATTTACATTCCCTCTGAGATACAAATTAATTTGCTTTATAATTGTTTTTTAATTATTGGTTATTCATTATAAGAGCATAACATGTTTTTACCCTAGGCCATTCATGTTTTTAGTGCTAAATGTCTCTTTTAAGATTTATCATCTATATTTAATATCTACTCCTTGGCTGACACTGTATGTTACAATCTGATTACTTTTTTTTTAGTCATCATGTGAGGCAGGTTTGAGTATAACATATGAACCACTGATGAATATAAAACTATACTCCTATGCTTTGTTAGCTATTGAGAATGGAACGCATTTATACAATATATCATGGAGGAAAAAGTCAAGACAAAAGTGGCTGAATAACCTCACTATGATACAGATCCCCTCCTTTCTCATTTCCTTCATGCCCGCATGCTTTCTGTGTCTACACATGCATTCATTTCTCAGTACATTACCAACTTTAAACCTCATCGGCTTTAAATAGTGCTCCATGCTGTATCTTCCTATGACTCAATTCAAAAATAATCATAATAATACAAACATTTATAAATCTCTTGCCATGCTTCAAGAATTGTTCTGAATATATCACATATAAGTATAATAGAATCCTTACCAGAACCTATGACGTAGGAAAAAATAGCACCCTTATTTTGAAAATGGAGAAGCTGAGGCACCGATTGGTAAGACATATGCCCACTGTTTCCTGGATAATAAGTGGCTGGACAGACTCCGGAGTCCAGGTCTTAATCACTGCACTCAAATGCATTGGTGCGCATTTATCTGAATGTGTTAGTTTCATGACGACAGTGCGCCTACTGACAAAAAAGGTAGAATTATTATACACTTTATTGTATAAACCAAGATTCTTCAGAAGGAAAGGCAGTATTAGCAATTATGCTAATACAGTTGTTGTAAACTGGACTGCTGAAGGCAGAATCTGAAGGTGTGCCACTCTACATGCAATCACTTACTCAAGTCATGTATCATGTCAGGGTCACTGGGGATTGAAGATTGCCAAAGTGAGCTGGCTAATTTTCCTTACAGGATTTGTCTTATTATTTATCTCTTTTAGTGTATTGATTCCTCAATGTTTGCTCAATCTTATTTTCAGCAAAATATTAAGACTAAAGTTTTGGCACTCCGTTATTTTGCGTTAAGATCAACAGCTAAGTGAGAGTTACTTGTTTTATGTATTTCCAACTACATGGATAGATATTCAAAAGCAATGTTTACAGAAGCTCAAATTTTCTTACCTTTACTAAGTGTAAAAGTGATCTCCCAAGAATAGGTCATATATAAAATTGTTTTAGATTATCTGCATGTAATATCAGATTTTGAATGCATGTAACAAGAACTTTAAAGTATGTCCTTCTCTCTTTGTCTAATCAAGAGAGTTTTCTCTCCTCCGATATACTGAGTGAAGTCTTCATGGCAGAGGGATGCTATCCTAGGGCAGGGGTGCTAATCTAGGTTTAAGGTAGATAAAATTGATAGGAAGCTAATTATCCTCTTGACCAGTGCATTATCATCAGAGGATGACTCTGGCTAACACAGAGAAACTCTGTCTTGGTTTTCTTTTTCTCACAATCTAATTCACCACCCAATATTTCTCTTGGTATGGGATTCTGCTCTGCTGAGATGTTAAAACTCTGCTGAGATATTAAAACCACTTTTCATCTTCAATCATCAATATTTTACATTATCTGAACCAAGTCTTTCATAAATATTAAACATTTAGTAATCCAATCATATTTATAGTGAAAAATCATGCTTTGAATGTTTAATTTCCAACTTATTTTAAAATTTCCAGAAATCAGAAATGAACAGTAAATTTGCAGTCAATAGGTCAATCTGTTGTCATTGTGTATGTGTGTACACTTGAATTCTTTTTTGTGTAATAGGTATGTTGGTGGAGAATTTTATTTCTGAATATTCCTCAATCAGAACTGGTAATGTTTCCTAGGGTCATCATTCTGGAAAAACTATATTTCTTGTATGATTGTAGGATCTTTCTATTACACACTAACATTAGTGTTCAATACAATGACTATTTAAATCTAAAATTTTTGGAAAAGGGGGACATATCATTACATCTCCAACTCACCTCTCCCTTCCTGCTAGTGTACAACTGAAGTAACAAATAAGTTCTACTTACCCTTTAAGCAGTAATAAATCTCATGTCTTCTGTTGGCAATTTACTGATGCTTATAATGAAAAGGAATATTATAGTGGAAACATGTGAATGCTAAGTTATCACAGAGGTGCATACTAATCTGGAAAGTTGTGGAAATGTCCAGAGCCTTCTTTAACAGAGTTTTTCCCAAGAGAGCTCTGCCTTTTCTTTTTTTTAGATTTTTGCTATAGGGCGCGTGCACTCACCAGACAGATAGACAGAAAGTGAGGGATGGCCACGCCGGAATCCCTTCTCCTCTGTTCTCCTCTCGAGATCTTGGGCATGCACGCACACACACCCGGTGTGAGTTTAAGCCACCGGATCCGCGACTCCAACCTTGGTAGACTACATGGGAGTCCAGCGACATAGCCATTATGCTAACTGCTGGTCACCAGCTCTGCCCTTTTAAACCGAGAAGATTTATCCGTGTTCTCCTACTAGCTAAAATAAAGGAATACGTAGTGTAAAGTGCTAGGGCACCACGGGCTATTTGGAGATGAGATAGTTGTTCTGACCTATTGGTCCAGTAAACATATTTTTCACTACATATTATAACTAGGTAATTTATCTATTTCTTCAATAATAGAAGTCAGTAGAGTCAAAAAACAGGAGTCCTTAGAACCCCTGTTTTAAAATTCACTAAGAAATCTCCAATATAATTAGCTTTGTCTATCAACCTTATACAGGCAGCAATAAGAACAAAATTCCCAGAGATGAAAAAATGCAACAATGATATTAGATACACTGAGACGAAACTGGACAATGCAAGCAAAATGATGTTTGTTTTTCTTCCTGTATTGTCTAAAGCAATTAAACTAATATAAAAACACTCTAATTTTTAAAAGTAACTCATGAATATTACAAAAAATATGATAAAAATATGAAACAAATTGGCACATAGGTAGCCACATAAGTAAATCTGAAAAAAAAGTTCTAATCTATTTTAATTTAAGACATTCTAGTCTTTAATTATAATTTTTATTGACTGAGTTTATGTAGTTTTAGTCTCTCTCTCTCTCATAAGTACTAAACTTAATTTGTTTGCATTTCTTCTTTGTAATAAAAATGCTTGCCTTAAGTTTTTATATAAAATATTTTTGCATACAATTGCTTATATACCAGTCCATTCCCATGGAGGAAATTCTTAGTTGTAGGTGGAGAAGTTTGTCCCTTTATATGGCTTTAGAGACATATATTTTCCACCAAATAGTCATGTGTGGCTTAATGATGGGGATACATCCTGAGAAATGTGCCTTTAGGCAATTTCATCTTTGCATGATCATATTATACTCCATAAGGCTCTCAATGAAGTGAACTCATTGACAACTGAAAAGGGCAATTAAAATATTGTTTATGGGGCCAGCAGTTAGTGTAATGGCTATGTCGCTAGACTCCAATGTAGTCGACTGCAGTTCAAGTCCTGGTCTCAATGGCTTAGACTCACGCCGGGCATGTGTGCATGTGTGCCCAAGATCCTGAGAGGAGAATGGAGGAGAAGGGATTGCAGCGTGGCCATCCCCCCCTGGGGGATGATTTCTCACTTTCTGTCTCTCTGTCTCTCTCTTCCTGGTGAGCACACGTGCCCTATAGCAAAAACCTCTCAAAAAAATTGTTTATTTAAAGAAGTGGCTGATAAATACTGACAACTAGAAACTTATTTTTAGAACTACCAGGCTGGCTCCATGGTCTAGTGATTAAGGTAGATTGATCCCACAGAGCAGAATAAGGGACTAGAATTCTAGACATGGTGGCCTATAAAACATACCTTGCTTGAAGTCAGGTGGTGTGGAGGTTAAGGTGCTGGACTCACACTTGAAGAGCAGTTCAAGTCATGGACCTGGTAGTTTCCTTTCTCACTTTCTTTCTGTCTCTCTTTGGTCAAATTAATAATAATAGCAATAAAAAATTAAATTAAATGAATACTTTTTTAAAATGAAATAAGAACACACTGGACTTCTGCGAGTGTGTGTCCGAATCCCATCAGGATGGAGAAATAGAG